TATTTATTTAACAAAATATATTGTCTATGATTGAAATTTGTATTGATTATTTTCCAGTATTACTATTTTTGATAATTTATTCCAGTAGGCAGTAATATTAAGTAGTTTTAAAACTATAAACATATGTTATGTATTTTTAAAGAAATACAACAATCTTCTGGCTTTCTACTGTATTTAATTTTGGTTAAAATGTTATATAATTATTAATAATGGGTTTAATCGTCTAGGTTTATTACAATAAAAATAAACAATAAGTAAAATTCATCATAAGAATTCATATTGATTTTTAAAGACATTTCTTTATTTATTACCAATTAGTTATTACCTGATGTACCTACTTATAACTTAACAAGAAATATAAATTATAAATTATTATTTCTGTCCTTGACCCCCCGAACGTAACTTCTAAATTAAAAATAGCTAGCTAATTTTGAGTGTTGGATTCGAACAGTTATGTGTTAAACGTAATTTCTTATGAAGGTATATTATATTATACATTTGAAGTTATTAAAGAATTGACTAGCGACCTAATCATACACTAAGACAAAAAAATATAGATCATATTTTCCAATCTACACTTCCATTAACTTTGGACCGAGTTATGCAACCGTAATAATGATATTTCTGTCTGCTCATATAACACTGCAAGGTCTCTCTTGTGGTTCAATTTCAACATTCTCTGACCAGTTGTTTTCCTGTTTCAATATTGACTTATCAATCAATCTAGATAATACTATAGGGTGCAAGATACTTTTGTAAGAACCGCTATATTCAAAGTAAAACACGTTAGTATTCGATATTTATTTATATGGAGATTATGCACATTGCGGTCTACATTAAYTTTCCTTCTAATTGAAAACTATTTTATTCAGTATAGTGTATGCAAATACCATATATTATACATAGGTACACCGTACACCACGTCTGTGTACGAAGTACGTACCTATTTATTTATTTTATATTTTCTACTTGGATGAGTACTTAAAACGAATAACAATAGATATAACTGTTATAACACGTGTAGAGTAATAGACTTTAATATTATCATAGATGTCATATCAGTGATGTTACATCATTTTTATATTTTGACAATAGTAACACAGTTGATTAGATGTTTGACTGTCTATTGTTTCGGTTCACCTATTACATTCCAATGACGACCTTAGACGTACTTATTTGTTATATAGTACAGCATACAGGTGTGGCTCRAGGGAAATTAGTTTAAAATTTTTTAGGGCAAAGAACCTCCCTAAATTAATTCTAGTTTTTTATAGTAACTATAACATAATATCTTTAAATACATAAMCATATAATATGTCATTTAATATAATTAAAATATATCTCACATTAGAGGGCTATTTAACTTTTTTTCTATTTTTTCAATATTTATTTAATATAATGTTTTAGGAAACTTGGCTCCAGGACAGTTGAAAAAAATGTTGAATAAGCAAAGAAAAGCTCAACGAAAAGCCCAAGAAGAAAAAGCTCAAGCATTAGCAGCTCAAGAAAAACGAGATATGCACAAAAATAGACAACAGGTAACCAATACCAGCGATGAAGCTGATGCAATGCCATTGGATGAACTACTACCAGAAAAGTTGGAAAGAGTAAGTGTTGCAGGTCTATTCCATGTCATAAAATAAATTTTAAACAAAATATTATGCTGATGTAGGTTGAAGATCCTTTGGAACAATCAATCAAGTTCTTGAAACCGCTTCAAGAACTTGCCTCAGATAATATTGAAACTCATTTAATGGCATTTGAAATTTATTACAGAAAAGGTATTTTATTTGACATTTTAAATATATTTTTAATTCAGTTTTATAGTTATTGAAAATATAATTTTTAGATAAGCTTTTGTTGATGCTGCAAAGTATCAAAAGAAGTCATCGTATTCAACCAGATCATCCAATGTTTCACAGTTGTCTAATTAGATTTATGGAAAAACTTTTAAAACTTGACAACATTCAAGAAGAAATGCAATTGGTGCTTAATAAACAATTAGAACCAATATTAGGTGGAATGTCGGCTGCTGATATCAATTCACAGTTTCTCAATAAACACCAAAAATCATTGCCAGCTTTAGTGCAGGGTGAATAATTAAACAAAACACTATGTACCATTAGTTTAAATTTTGAAATACTTAATTATTAATTATTTTAAACTTCAGGTTTGAAAATGAAGTATAAACTTGATAATAGTTTGCAAAAAGAAGTTCTTGACCAAATTACTAAGCTAGACGATTCCTTGGAAGATGTCAATATTCAAGTACAATTCTATATTTTTTTCTGTTTTACTTTTTTATCACTAATAACCTTCATGTTATAGACTTGTAGTGAAATTCTAAATTCATTAATCAATGGTGAATTTGGCGAAGTTGGTGATATAGCTGAAGAATATCGTAAAACGTGTTATAAACGTTTCCCATTGGCTACAGCTTTCCATACGGATCAAGATCGTTCTCCGATGGCATTTTGGTCTAATTCCTACAAAACGTTGAATGAAACGCATGAAAATTGTGTCAGTAACTAATTAAAGCCTGGACGTTAGATCAAAAATGTATTTTTTAATTTTGTTGAAAAGTTTTTTCTTATTTTCATAATAGGTCTTTATTATTATTTTTTAATATAGACTTATTATTTTTCTGTAGGAAAAACAGCATTTGTTTTTGTCTTGAGTATCCTGTAAATAGTTAATAATATATTATAATTTCTTTTCTCAAATTTAACACTTCACTAATCGATATACAGATTACAGTTTTGACTGAATATTTATAATTTATGTTTATAGTTTAAATTGCTTGATGAAAAAAAAACACTATTTATTAACTCCAAACAATTCAAAATGTTTTCTGTGATACACCTGAAACTTATGCTAATTATTGATTATCTAACTACTTTACAAGTTGATAAAATATGAACTTGTGTAAGAAAAAAACGTAGCTCATTTACTAACCAAAGGTTGATCTCCAGTCATTTAAATTTAAAAAAACTTATTTATTACTACAGTAAGTAAATTATTTTTTAATGTTAAATTGACATAAAATAAATATTTAACAACTATATGGAATGTAAATTTAATAGTAATTGATATTCTTTTTTGAAAGTAAAAAAAAAATGTTCTGTTGATAAAACCTGTGGTGGTAATTGAGCTTATTTTTTATTTTTTTAATGAAAAAAGTCAAATATATGTTTCTTTTTGAATAATATTAAAAACAAAAACAAATACAAACAATATTATTGATGAYTTCATTGTGGTATTATGGTAATTAAGTTCATTCAACAATATATATTAAATTTTATAAATATATTATTAAAATGTCTGTGTGGTGTGATGTGTGAATGATCTGAAAGTTATTTGTATAAGCTTTTCTGAYTGACAATATAATAATATTTATGTGTTACGAGTGCCTAAATAGCGTTGRCTGCACTGTCCAAATGACAAAATATAAATCATTCATAACATTATAATAACTTTTTAATTAATGTTATGCTCCAGTACACAATCAGTGCAATGGTTCTAGTATAATTTCCAACATTGAATGAGATTTTTCGTAATAATTAACAAGAAATACATATTATTTTAGTCATCTAATCAATAACAATAATGTGTCTGTCCACAACAAGTTAACAAAACGATCTTAATGTATTTATGATTTTTGTGTGAAAAAAGAAATTAAAAAATTTAATTATTACTTTTAATCACAACATATGTCGTGTACTCGTGTAGTACAATATGTTCTATATGCGCCACGAGTAAATGTYCACCGTCAAGGACGCAAGTTAAAAAAAATATATATATAATATATAAATTTAATATAATAGTATAGTATCCCTGGTGGCTTACTCTATTCTGGTTTAATTTCAAATTGACCGTGTCACGCAATTTAGTGGGTTTATCGTTTTACCATTAATTATATATATAATATATCTACAAAATTAATTGTACTTATTATTTTCCTTCTTTGGACTGCGTGTCTGCGTGTACATATTGCTTGAATAACAAACGTTAAATGGTAATTCAAGAAAAAAAATGAAAGTCGGCCAAATCGTTATGATTGACCAACGTGCAATTTATTGTAAAAAAACTTATTTGGTTGCTCCTTTGTAGCTAAAATATACACGTTAATCGTATGGTCAATTAAATTCTACATAAAGGTATACTTATAAGTTATAACTAAACAGTAATAGTACAACGATTTAGGTAGATACCTATAATCACTATATGTATATACTATAAATAATGTATTTATGTATATTTTACCTGTGGCAAAATTTTATTGTCACGATGTACGATTTATTATGTCAAGTGTTGATTGTATGGCAATCAGAGGTGGTTTTTTTTAGGGAGGGGGCAGTAGTACGCATATGACTTAACTTAAATTTTTATAAAGTTTTGGGTCGGCTCTAGAGCTATTATGAGCCGTAAACAGGATACAGATCATTATATAGGAGTCAAAAATGAAACATTGATATTATCAGTAATCTACGATGAGTTGATCACATAGATGTGATTGACTGGATTAGTATTTGTAGGTATATATGAGAAACTGCGATAAAAACAAATTCTTTGTGGTGGGTTAGCTTCAAAACAACCTTATATTAG